ATATTAATCACAATCAAATATTTGGCCAACCAACCAACTAACGACCCATTACCAAATTACACATTTTATGGATATTTCAAACAGAAGAGAACAACTGATTCACTGTACAATGAACCCAAATAGTGAACACAATAACTGCAGGAAGTTTGTGTAAAACGAGCGATTTGGATGAATTTAACAACACACACAGATTATTTTCTGTGAATACTGATCTGAGATGAGTTTTTTTTATACAATTGTCTGTCTGTATTACACATTTTTATCATTTTAAACAATCAAACAGTGTGAGCAGTAGTGTGAAAAAATCCCACCAGAGAACCAGGTTTAACTTCCAGTAATGGTGTTTTCACACTTTCACTCTGGCTTGGTTGTGCTGTTTCAATAAATGGTGAGGAATAACTTTTTGTTGCTGGATTAGCGTCGACATCCTCTGCTGCTGTTGGAAATTAAAAATGATGCAGGTTTTGCACTTCCACAGATCAACTGTAAGTCAAACAGTCAATCAACTGTGAGCTACAATATGTACAAGAGGTACAGGGGCAATGTTTTTGCCCACTACAGAAACCCAGGGCCTAATTCCCATTACTGGTATATCTGGTTCTATCGTTGTGTTCTACAAATGAATGTTCATGGGTGGGAAGCCAGTGAGGGCTCACATTCTCGTTGCTGCACTTCTATTTGTTGTTTGGGCAGACTACAAGTGGGTGGTGGGACATACTGTTTTCAGAATTAGCCAGTGATATTTACTATCATTGCTCATGCTGAAAAACTAGCAAGTTATATACAAATTTTAAATCACTTCCTGTGCAGAGAAAAAGCTACCAGGCAACAAGCATTCTAGGTATAGTTTGATACCCAGATTATCTGTGATACAGATTAGCATACCTTATATGACCATTCATTTATACAAAAAAAACATTTCATTTCATGAATCCATTTTTCACAATCACCCCAAAATGATTTGTCACCTCCTTGTGTGAATCCCTAACCAATCAATAAGTAAGAAATAATGGCCTCACACTCATAGTCTTGATGCATTATGTATTACAGTAATAAGCCATAATCAGTGCAGAGTACAACATTATTTATGCAGACCTCAAGCATCTGAACCAACCAGCTTGTCAAGCATAATAAATAAAGATGTGTTAAGTGTCTTTTAGCCCAAGTTCCTTGAAGAAAATAAGCACATAGTTGTCCCTGTAAATTTCCCGTTAATCACAAAAACAGGGAGGGGTGCGAGACTACACAATCCTGCGTGTCTCTATCTTTGGTACTTGGTACGATCACATTCAAGTGTGATTATGTTACATATCAGGGCACCATAATTCCAACTCTACACACATCCTACTCGTCCTTTTCTTTAAAGCCTAAGCCCTGCTTGGCTCATGTAATTGCCTCTATCTGAAACCTATGACTTAGCTGTGGCACTTTAAACTGATTGTGTTTGTTTATCCCCAGCTAAACTCAGAACCCTAGATAATCTGTGCAAAGGAAAAAAAGAAGATAATATCTCATGTCTGCTCATCTCTTCCCTTATCCAAACAAGCTCCGTTTGTCTCCCTGAGCAATAACACATTGCTGGCCTAGATAAATATGACCGACGTCCCACACTAACGCAAGGAGGGCTGGGAAAAACACACATACAGACCCGCACGTATACCCCCATGCCCATTCGATGCATATGTAAGCACAAAGACACACATTTCCAAGCAGACAATTACTTCAGACTCAGTGGGATACTGAGTTGTGCACACACAGATGCACCCTTCGCAGAAATGCTCTCCAAGGTCTGACACATTAAGACAGAAGTCCTTTAATGGTAGTAATGGAGACAAAGAGCAGATTATTGCTTAAGGAAAAAACAATGAGTAGCGACTCTCAGTTGTGGTGTTTTAGGCAAACAGCAGGCGGGCACATTCCAGGACAGCTGCCAGAAACAACCCAGTACCAGAAAGCGAGGAGAGAGAACAGCCGTATGGGGAACCACAACTGTGCTCATTTGGCTCCTCTTCCACTGCCCAATAACAATCATGACATTGCAAAACTAGCTGCATAATTAACTTGTGGAAAATAAACTGTCAGGAATATGAATTGTTGTATAAACTTTATTTTACATAAGTATTATTATGTAAACCTCTCTGATAAAAAGAAGCTGAGTTTGATGGATTGAGGTCATTTAGATAAAAAGCCAGACCCGCTGTCATGCTGCATCTTCTCTTATCGACCCGCTAAAATAACTGGGACACAAAGGACGGCGTATTTAATAAATGAAATCATTCCGAAACTAATTTCTATTTCTACATGAATCCAAAATAAAGTTTTCATTGATTTAACGTAGTGTCCTTAAAACGTAGCATCATGCAGGACACATCTTTCATACAGTCAGCTTCTCAGAACTTTTCCGAACCGAATATATTCTTTAAACACAGTGTTTTGACAGCAGCTTATCTCTAGAGGCCTTAATCATTCTCCACATGTGGATAAAAGTGTCAATTACAACTGTCAATTACAGAACAAAAACTGTCTGATGGATTTGCCAATATGTATTAAACAGATTGTAAAGGCAGATTGTCAACTTTAATTTTGTTCAGGCTCAGCCCACACTGTTCCAGTTTCTGCTCACTGCCTACTGCCTGGTCTCAGCCTCACTGCAGACTCTGCTGGGACTCTGAGGTTGAGACTGTGAGGTGTTTATTGTGCAAGGAGCAAAAATCAAATAGAGCAGAGTGAGCTAAGATCTTTAAGTTTGAACTGTTTCAATACAGACCAAGGTCCTACTGAAAACAACGTAGTTCTCTGTTATCTTCGCTTTCACACAAGCTGGTTTGTGAGAACTCATTTATTTATTATATCATTTATTTAAGTAGAGAAAATTATGTTTTCCAGACTTCTCAGCTTTATCTATCGTGTATGAGCTCGAACAAAATCACTCAACTTTTAAAGGACCAGTACGCAGTTGGAGATTGCAACTCCCTTGTTTCACCCTCACCTTCTGAACATGAAGGAGAAACTACAGGGGGTGTGAAATGCCCCTATCTAGAGCCAATGCTTGATTTGTCCATTCTGGGCTACTATAGAAATAGAAATATGGTGTTTCAACATTGGCGCACTCTACTGAAGGCTACCCACTGCATCTGTATATAGACAGCTCATTCTACGGTAACACTGAATTTAGGACTTATTTTCAGGTGATTATATACTAATGAAAACAAAGTTATGCATATTGTAAAACATTTCTGGCAAAAGATCCTCCTAAATGTTACATGCTGGACCTTTAAAACTAGACCAGTTTATTCTCCCCTATTGTTTTTAAAAATGTATTCCTTATTTTGTATTATTCATCCAGTAGCTGTTATTTCTTTTATCATTTGTAGAGCAGTGTGTAAACTTGCAAAGACTTTTCATTTTAATTTCGTGGTTGAAAAAAGTGAGAGTGTAAACCAAGAGGCAACACTGCTGCAAGATACAGGTTGAACCACGGCCAGACATGTGAGACTTTATGCCATATAATGCTTATGCTAGCACAAGGAGCACAGTGAATGAAAGAAGAAGTTAATGAACAAAGAAAACAATTAGTTTCAACACACAAAATATATAGTTTCAGCGTCAGAAACCAAGCTCTCTACACTCTTTCAAATTTATACCTTCTAATAGCCACTAAGGGACAGAAGGATTGACAGTAAATGAATAAATGATCTCAAAAACAGGGTTGCAGCGGTATACCACTGTATACCATTGTACAAAAACTGAGTTATCATACCATGTACATTTGCTTATCTATGGTATCAGCAACCGCAGCATGCCTGCAGCAGAGCACTTCCATTATAATCAACTGAAGCTGCAAACAGTCTAAAGAGTAAAAACAATCCACTCCACTGCACCTATATGTTATATAATTGACAAAGAATCAGAACAATAAGCAGGATCAAGAATAAATGCAATTGGTATAGATAAAATCTTTAAAATTGTTTGTGTGTGTGCATGATACAAAGCAAAACACTGCTCCATAGCACTACCAGTGGTCACAAACTCCGAAGGAGACCTTTAATTAATGACGCTGACACACAAATTACGTCAAACATTTGTTATTCCACATACCAGGAACTGATTACTGTAGTTTCTGTCACTCCGTCCTCTATGGGAACCCAAACAGTTTATAACCAAAGCACAGAAGTGCTGGCAAACATAGATGCTGCAAACATGATAAAAAGAAGGATCTTAGTTAGGTGAAGAATTGGGTAAATACGTTGCACGCACTGTTGTGTCTGCAAGTTAGCATCACTACAAAGTCTCAACAAACATGATTGTTTCAAAGTCGGTGGAACCAAGAAGCAACATCTTCTCAGTTTTCTCTTTAAATTGTTGGCTACATGAAAGCAGCCTCCTGCTCTGTTTGGTAAGAGTCTGGTTAGGATCAGCATGTGGCAACACAGCTACAGATGTGTGTTCCTGTTTACACTGAGCAGGAGGTAATTGAGGAAGTCTGGCTCTCTCCTCGGGAGCACTCTGCTGCTCAGTGGGAGCTATGTTACTACCAAACCAAACATCTCACATCTCTCTCCTGCTTTCTGTCCAACTCTCTCTGTTTATCTCTTTTCTCTCTGTCCTCACATGCCTCTTCCTCTCTTTCCTCCCCTGCCTTCTCCTTCGCCCTCTCCTTCTTCCGCTGGAGGAAATATCTGCCACTTAGCGAGATGGATGCCGTGTCTGCCTCAACCTAGAAGAGCTGCACCAAAGAGGCAACTAGATTCTCTTTTCTTCTTTGCCACAACAGGAGAGCTCAGTTTTCTAGCGTCATCCAGGGGAGCCGTGTTGCATCTGTCAGCAACACCTCCTTTAACCTCCATATCAGAAGACAGCGGGGAGCTGCTAAGTCGACTCCCATGTGCATTATAGCATGCAAATGAGTTCATCCTTTGTGAACTTTCCCAGAAAGCTCAGCAGAGCACATTCAGTATGCAGCGATTCTTCCTCTCCTCTCCACACCTGCTTATCCTTACCTGGAACTGGCCGGCGTAGTCGTCGTCTGTGGTGCCCTCTCTGCCCTCCTTCAGCGCGATGAGGGTAAAACCTCTGAAATAAGCAGGGCTGGTTGCCAGGAGTACCACTGTAGAGCAGAGAGAAAGCATGTATTCACTAAAAGCTGAGCAGTAAAGAGGCACATACATTGACACACAAGGGTGGCACTGCATGACGCAGGGTCACCCCGTATGATGCCAGGGAAACGCACAGGGAAGCAGTATTTAATGTGATGGCTGTAAAAAGAGGCTCAGCATCTCACACTAGAATAAAAGAGAGGCTATAAATCTCATACAGAGAGTTTGGTGCGGGGAACGGGCCAGGAACAGGAGCCGTATAATGAGATGTAGGTGAAATTTTATTCGGCTCACCCCTGTGCCCTAACCTTGCCTTTTCATACGAGCTCATTTATCTTAAAACTTGCTCCCAGTGCTGAGAACGAAGATGTCAATATTTTCAATCTTATCCGTTTTTGTTATTTTAAGTGAACTTAAAGGCTGTGAAGGTTTGGGGAATAACTTCTTTATTTCCTTGGGTGGTGTCCTTCACACGTAGCTGATTAGAATTTTGCCCTGAATTGCTAAATGTGGCGTCACAGCCGAAACTTGCATGATCTGGAGTATGATCTCAGTGGGGAGACTTCTAGACAAGGTGACCCTTGATTTTCCTCCTCGTTTTGAAGCCTGTTTCAAAACTGCAACATGCCAGGTCTCATAACTGTAAGAGCTCAAAACTGCTTAGTGTAACTTCTAAACTCACCAAGAACCTCTGTGAGTAGGCCAAAGTCTTTTTTTTATGTGGCCAAATCCATCAGGCAGGATAGGGACTAAATTTGTAGGGGTCAGCTTAATTGGAGCCAGATCTGTGTGTGTGTTTGTGTGTGTGTGCCTGTGTGTATCTCCCTCTGTGAGTGTTTGTATGTGTGTCTCCTTGCTTGCAGAAAGAGGAGAGGAAGTGAATATAGGTCAAACATTATAACACTAAGTAGCCTTATCAAACCACAACTCTCCCTGCAGGGGCCAGAGGAGACAGACTGACTAGTTGGGGATTTGTGTCCTCCTGGCTGCAATTTCTAGTCAAATTTTAGATTACTGTGGCTATTGCTTACAGTCTTATAGGTGGTTAGTCATACTCAAGTTTGAATAAATAAAACAAAATAAAGATTTCTATGAATTTCAGAGTAAACGTGCTCTGATTTCCAACTTCACAAACAGTCCACTTGTTCAATTTGGCGCAGGTTTACGCACTGATTGCGCAGATGGACTCTAAACTCTACCTCTGTAGGTGCTGGCGGGCTGGTAGGTTTCCGGGTCCCCCTCCACTCTGAGCCTGAACTCATGGTGGCCATCCTTCCGGGTCCCATGTGTCGGCGCCCGGAGGATCCGCCCGCAGTACCCGTCCGACCTGCCCCCGGAGGGTTCCTCCACGAAAGCGACGGCATTGCACACAAAACTCGAGACGAAATAGTACTGCAAAAGCAGCAGATGTATGTACATTCCCATTTCGGAGCCCGCGGATGAGTGTACAGTGGCAGTTCAATCAAATTAAAAACCCAGTGGAAAGGCGAAACAGCGGACAGAGGATCAGTTCCAGCTCCTTCCCCAGGAACTCCCACCAAACTACAGCAGCGTCACAGTCAGTGGGAAAGGTGAAGAGAAGGAGGCGAGTCCATCCTGAACTGGAGAGAGCGCGTCTGGGACGCACCACGGTGAGGCGGGTGCTGAGATGGGAGAGAGGAGCTGCTGCTGCTGTTCCCGGATCAGTGCGTGGTGTTGATACTAGTGAGCTTGGAACCAGCGGGGGGCCGCCAAATAACCGAGCGCGGGTGCACGCGGCTGTCTCCTTGACTTGAGGCGAGGGAAGGTCCAAACTGGAGCTCCGCGCTTTAATAAGAGCCAGCCCTCCCCTAGTAACCAGACACACAGAGAGTACACACGCTGCTAGTGTGAGATCACACACACACACACACACACTGATCTTCCTCTTGGGGAAAATTACAAATGTTCTGCCTGCTGTTCAAAACCGACAGCAAATGTTAAATGCTCTGAACACTGTGGGTTGCATTTGAGTTAAAATCCATCATGGAGTTAGATATGGACATTCTAAACTCAAAAGTGAGCAGCATGGTTGTATTAAAAGTGAAGAAGCAAAATGATTGTGTTTATTAGTCCTCATCTGTGCGCATTTTTCCTCCATAATTACGCGAAATGATCGTGTTCCATAAACAAATGCACAATCATTTCATGTTTTGCTCTGTATATGCTGTGCGCTGCGTGGGGCTGCACAGACACCAGGAGGTTAGATAAGGTCATTATAAACTCAACAGTAACAGAATAAATGTTTCTGGTCCTGTCCTGTGCGTATTTCTGTTGTATTTTCTGTTGCGTGGTTACGCGTGTTCAGTGCGTTTCACGAACAACTGAGCAGTGGACATCATCCCACGGCACAGAGTAATGGATGCTCTGAAGCTACAAATATAAAGAAACTTAAGCGTTCTCTAGATATGACGCCAGGGCACCTGAGCAGGGCACCATAAAACAGTGGCAGCTGCCTGCCCTTCTGATAGGGGCAAAAACGAACTTGAAGTGTTGATTAAATGAATTGCTGCACACTGAAAATAAATAATTTTAATTCCAATAAACCTTAAGGTGTATGAACATGGGCTCCATTTTACACTGCTGTCATTTTATTTGATAATTTTCTTGTGGATTAATCCCCTTTTTCTGTATGGACATCTGGTGTACGTAAAGCTTCCTCTCAACATCTCACACACTGACTATAACCCCTTGTAAAAACTTTTACAAGACAGACATGCGTTTACAATAGGGGATATTTTGGGCAGTAGGTGTCGCCAGAGTATCTTTGCACCTTTAGGTCCTCCAGAGCTACTTAGTAAATTTGTCACTCTCCTCATCACTGCACCTTTTACTCCCCCATCTCCTCAAGTTTTATTATAGTGTAGAGAAAAGTATGAGGGATTATGGAAATGTAGGTCTCATATTAAATGTGTAGTTTGGACTGAAGCAGTAAGTTGAAGTTAGATGATATTTTGATCCATTTCCTTTTTGTAATTTATTTTTTTCCTTTATGCCATCTTGCAATCCTCCTTTGTTCTGTCCGAGTTACAGATATGCTGTAACTCTATTACCTTTAAACTTTGAATTCCCTTTTACTTTTAAAATGCTACAATCAAATGATCAGTGTCTTTAAATACAGTTGTGGGTTTGTGTATGTAAACACTAAAACCTCACAGGAATGAGCTCAGATAAACTTTTACCATACTGATTTGCTCATTTTTCGTCACTTTTTGTCCACAAGACGTGTGTCTGTGTGTGTATGTCTCAACCTGGGGAGTGTTACTTAACTGGAAGCAGTTTTCAGAGCTGGAGATGGTTAAACTAAACAGCATCAGCCTGGATGTCTCAGTGATGGATCCCATCTGGAGTGACTCTGCACTATAAACTGTCTGACGGATGGCTGACGTCTGGAGCGTACACTTGACCGAGATTTGGAGTCAAAAACAACCCAATGACCTTTCGGAATGAAAACAACCTGTTTGCACACCAGCCAGTTACATTCCTGCTTTCAAACATCCAACGTTTTTTTTCAGTGTGAGGAAAGTATTGGTGTGAAATCTTCTAGTCTATCCCCCCGAACACCCTGAAATGCTCATGCCTAGTTTAATCTCACTCCAATTTTTAATTAAGTGGACTGCCTCAGGTTGGTTTTCTCTTATGCAATATTTACTCTTAACATATAGATGTCGGAATAAATAGGTTTCTTTTTCCCACAGCCACTCTTCACACTAACATATGCATATGCATTTAACTTTAGTCAGGGTGATAAGATTCCGATGCAGGAAGCACGGGCCAAAAGGGTGTATTAAATATGAAAATTGCACTGATCTTAGTGTGTGGAAGTCATTTCCTCTAATGGACTATGAGGGTTCTAAAAAAGCCCTCGGTATTGTGCTCAAGTGTGTAATAGAATTTCTAATCATTTTACAAAGCTTTTTTTTTATTCTGCTCATAGAAGACATTTGCTTTATTTAGATCCTTGTTTCTATTTCAAGTAATGGAAATAAATGGATTGAATGTATTGAATTGTATAGTCTAAGTGCTCACTGTTGAAAGAACATATTCCTCATTTTGTCTTGTATGTCCATAAATGGTGAAGGAGACATATTTTACTGAAGTAGAAGTGCCACCACCACGTATTAATTATACTTAAATAGGAGTGCCTGTTTGGAAGATAAACAGAAAGTCTTGGACTCGTTAGTATTTTCACTCAGACTTGCCTCGCCAAATATTCAAATTGTCTTGCCAGAGTAGAGCCATATATGTTTTTTTGTCTGAAGTAACTTCCTCCTTCTAAACAAAACCTTTTGATGAAGCACACTTGTTCAGAAAACGTGAATTGGTTTAATTGAAAATCCATGTGGAATGGGTATTGACAGTGGCCAATCAATGTCACTTGCAATTGTATGCCTGGCTGCAAGAAGTCATCTCACTGGCAATGGCAAAAGCATCTTTTTTCTGTCTGGGTCTAGATTTTGTCTCTCTCATTTGGACTCAGTCTTGACTTGAACTCGAACCTCTTTGGAAAAGGTCTTGGTCTCAACTAGTCCTGGTTTTGGACTCAACAATGGTGGTCTTGACTACAGTGACACTTACTTTTTACAGTAGTGTGATTAATTTATTCAAAAACTTGTAGTGTAAGGAGTTCTAATTTGCACTTTACATTACAGTTCAAAATCCCAGGAATGCTCTGCTACTTTCATGTTTTGATTTTTTGTCCTTCTAGGAGTTGGATTTGAGGGCTGATGTCAAGTCTGTGTTCAGCACAGAGGCGAAGAGCATAAATATACAATAGAACTAGATTTTTTTTTACTTATGTGGTCTACTGAATATAAAGCAGTAGTGTTTGTTTGTGGCAGTGTGGCCCATAGTCTGCATTGTGATGACGTCACTTTTCTAGGCTCAAGGGATTTTTTACAAATATAAAATGTCCATCGAAGAAACATTCATGATAGAAAGAGTCATAACTGACCTCAGAAAAGTTTTCTATGTCTTACGTTAGAAAACTAAAATCCCAGTAAATTGCCTAAGAATGAACTGTCACGAAGCCTATATAAGGCCATTTTTCTGATTTCATGAAAGGCTGACATTTAAGAGAATCATGACTTTCATTGGACGGCAACACAGAATTATATCTCAAATAAAATCTGGTCACATGCTGGACCCCTCAATCACATCACAGCAGGTAGCTAAAAGTAGAGTAGGAAGCCGCTGTTATTTGAACTTGAGTTTTATAATGACTTTCCCCACTGTAATATAGGATATAGGCTTTCTATGTTATCCATTTAACAGTAGAGGGCTCAGAGCCAGGAAGCCATCAGAGACAAATGAGATCTATATATCAAATTAAAGCACTTGATGAAACTCACTGTATCTAATACTGAAAGCAAATTGGCCAAAGTTGAATTAAGTGGAACCAAACTGAAAGCTGAGGAAGGTGTACCTATATTGACTCTCTTGTATAAAGTTAGTTGAAATCGCATCTGTAACCCTGTGGCCTCAAGGCAAAGCAACAAACTCTGTTATCTCTACTGCGCTGAGGAGACATCCATCAGACATGTCATCATGTTTTTGTTGAAGACAGCACACTGAAGAACACAGGCATCCACCGTCCCGAACACATGCACACTAAATGACCACACACACCACGACATGCTGGCGAATGATCGCTGATTGTATCACTGCCCAGATAAGCAGGTGCAATCAGCCCTGATCACCACATAATTACAACAGACTGGGTGTGCTGAACATATATGTGTGATTAGTTGCACATGTATGAGTATAAGATTATATGTCTGCACAGGTAAGCTTGTCTGACTGTGCTGTAACAATATAGTACTTTATGTAGTTTTGTTACAAGAAATACATGTAGACTAAATAATCTAAAGATCTCATGAAAAAGAACTTAAAGCTGCAGTAATCAATATTTTCGTAATAGCAATGGATCAAATGTGCAATGTGAACGATGATGTTTGTGGAGATGAATCTACAGATAATTGTCACCCAATTCCTTAGTTTGTCTCAAAGCGACAAACCCACAATTATCACCTGACGTCTGCGGTTCCCCTATACGTTCTGCAGACCTATTAGACATCTTTTAGCCCTATTCTCGTTCAGTCTCACCACTCTCATCAATTTCGTTTTTATCCGGAGCAGCAGCTGGCAGCTGTTCTCAGCAAATAAACCAACTGTACTGAACTACCTCACCAGCACCAAACAGAAGACTGACAAAGTTAGCGAGTAGCTAGTGAACAAAGTGGAGCATTTACCAGCTAAAGACCCAGATATTTCTCTCAGGGGTTGGTGGAGACCAAAACAGAGCTACAAGGAGAATGCATATTGGACTGACATTCACTGAAATACCCACTTACTGTAAGTAGGCAACTGTTGTGTTTACTGCTTCTCACAATCCTGATAAATTAATTGTGGACGGTGCTTTCAGTCCATTGATCCCAGTGTCTCTGACTGTTGTGGGGCACTCCGTTACTTAAATGGTTAAGGCTCATTCCATCTAGCCTTTCTGCAACGTCCACTGCAGACCTGATGAATATCATACCCCCCTTTCATCCATTGTCCACTGTCTTGCCAAAAAACAATCCTAAAATTTAATTGGTAATTCAACTGTCTTTCAACTCTAAAACATATAATATGTAATTTCTGCTGCTCAGGGTTCTCTCACATTAAAACCATAAAAGTTTCATGATGTGAAGTAGCATGGGGTCATGGGAGTTGTTGTCTTCATCACCATTGCTGTGATTGCAGTCAGCTTCTTTTAGTTTTAGTTTTAGGA